GAGAGAGAGAGAGAGAGAGAGAGAGAGAGAGAGAGAGAGAGAGAGAGAGAAGCCGCTATACAGTAGAAAAATTGAGACGTGCGTGTAGTGTTGTTCGATCGAGCCGAGATAAGGCGACGCGAATCGACTTCATCGATCGCCGAGATCTATACGTATGCGTGGTCCGAGCTACGTAGTCAGGCTACACGATGATTACGCCAACGGAAGCAACATGTGTCCGAGGCTTGTCAACGAGAAATACATTTTCTGCCTTCGAGCCCAGTCACGGTACTTGAACTATTAGTCGCACAACCGCACATTATACACACAAATCGCGCTTTTCCAGATAAGCTTTTGCAACGGCTGTCTTACAAACGATAATGCTTAATAAGATCGTGAGCTGATCTTTGTGAATGTTTCATGTGCGTCTAGCATGTTTGTTGTTCGTTGAAAGAATATAGATATATTTGGTCTCAAAACGATTTGTACACTTTTTATCGAAGAAAATTACAAGGCTTTAACCCTTTGAAGCCCAATATATATAATTGCGTACATTCACTTGCCAAATTGCCAGATTGTGTAGTTTTTCACGAAAAAACGTAAGCAAATTTTATTTTAAATTCTGATTTTTTGATTGATATTATCTTAAAGCATAAGACAGGTACTCTTTTATGTTCATTATCGTGGTTATAAGACTTATTAAATTCTGTAGTTGAGGTACATTAGTGTATAGTGCACAATTATCCGTCAATCTTCTTTAACTAACAATTAAAAAATTTACGTGGTTGTTTGCAAAATGATATAAGACCTTTGTGTTCAGTTGATCTAATCTACATTTGCACGAGGTGTGGGATATTTATCGTCAGAGATCTTATGTATCAATTCAACTAAAAAAAACTTGGATTTAATTCTGAATAAAAATCTGAATGTCTCTCATGAAGTAAGTTTCAAGTGACAACTATTAATTTAGGCCCAAGTTTGCTTTATACATTTACGTGAAAGGAAGAAACAAAATTACAAGATCTATGAAGGAGTTTCCAAAAATAAACCTTAGTAGCGAACGTTTGTTTCTATTAAAAGCATTTCACGAAAAGAGAAACGTATTTTTCTTTGAAGTATAAGAGGTTTATCACTTGCATTATCGGCACTTTAATCCATCAGCGTTATCGTTGCACATTCGTAGAGAAAGAGATGTGCGCATTAGTCAACCAATGAAGATTAAGATCGCATTCTTGAAATTTCTATCCCAATGAAACCAAACGAAAGGGAGATGCTGCAGGCGATAAAGGAACAATTACTTCGTTCGGCGCGAATGGTTTTCGGTCACGAAAGTGTAAATTGCGGTTCATTGCGCTCATCGATCATCGTGTTTATGCAATGGATCGAATTATGCCTGCCTCTATCTTTGTTGCAGATCGATTCTAGTCTTGACGATGCTTAGCGCGGCCGGCGTCTCGTCGTCCTACATGCCCGACAAGTATCCCGTAGAAGTAAGTCTTTGTCGAAAGATTATATTACTTTACGAATTTCAACCCAATTGCAGCAATTGTTGGCGAATATTTTCAAGCAGTAAAGAAACGTATTCATTCAATTTAAAATATATATCCATTGTAATTTTTGCTTGAACCTCAGTCGCAATCTTAACTCCACTTTCGACCTGAACTTTCTAACATCTGTATGTTCTGATGAATCAGTGTATGTTTAATATATATATATATATATATATATAGAAACTAAAATCTTAGCGCCTCTAAACAGCAGCAAATACTACGAAATGCCACTTGTAGGTTCTAAAGAGGACCTGCTGTTGGTAAAGCTAATAGACTGAGTAGAATAAAAAAAAGATTGACATATAGGCTTCAGAGAATCAAAGTAGACGAATAGAATATTGAGGTCGAAAGTAGGATCAAAAAATGTTAACTGTGGAAGTCGTTTGCAATTTAAGTATATTATATATAAAGAAAATATTGTAGCAAAGATTATGACAAAATTATAATCTTGGACCATACGGAATTATGACTGAATCACTATATATTTGTTTAAAAATGGAATACACGTATGACTTTTCGTCACGAAATTATTATAATTACTTGAACGTTTTTTATATTATACATCAGGTAGTTTGTCAAATTTACTATTTTTGTTTATATAATAATTTATGATGCAATTTTAGAACAGTTTCAAAACAAACTTTACAAAAAAACATTGCAAAAAGAAACATAATTTTAGTGTAATTTTCATTACAATATTTTCTCCGTGCACACTTGAACTTAGAATTTAAGTTCTTTTTTAAAATTTATTTTTTAATAAATTTTTTAAGAGTTTTAATATAAAATAGACTATCAAGCTTTCGTCAGTGAGCAAAAAAATCGCGGAAGATTAACAACTTAATATCGCATAACTAAGTGTGTTACGCGAAGTTGGTAGTCGTTTTTCACTGAGAATATGTCACATTACCAATTAAACATTAACAAACAATCACGTTTGCGACAAGTTACTCTTGGCGATCAGCTATCGCGACGATCTCACCTCTTCGATGAGAGGCTTCGTCGCGCGATGCATATTAATTCGAGCCACTTGCGGGAATTAATACGCAATTACGTGGCCGCTATACCGGGTGGCACGTCGAGAGGGTAATTAATTGACACCGAGAGGTCCCTAAATTACACTGGCGCAGAGCGCGACGGGCAAGGCCACGCGATAGCTAAGGCGACATGAGAGCGCAAACACGCTCCACTGGCTGTGCTGTGAGCCACGTGCTGCGTACCGCTGCCGTCAGCACCACGTTATAATTATGCCTAAAGAGTCCGTTTGTTCTGGAAAATGTTGCGGCATTACGACCGGCACGAAAATAGATCGCGTGCCCTAGAAAACGCGGACGCATTCTCGCGACTCGAGGTCACACCTGCGACTCTTATCGCAGGCCTACGATGCCATCAAGGTTGCCTTTCTGAAACATTCAGTTTATAAGCATATTTCCGGTCGTATTTCAAACGCATCGACACGTCTCTCTCAATTTGTGAAAGGAGAGGCGTATTCAGATATATAAAGTACTCGATCAGTTTGTAGCCAACAGCTACCTATGAATTTTGGTTTCTAATTAGTTTTCGGCCAGTAATTAAACAGTACAAATGAAAAGAAATTGGTCAATTTCGAGTCAGTTTCTAATGAGTTTTTGATCACTTTTTGTTGAGGTCTAACCATTTCATTTTGTAAAAAATTCAAAAATTTTCATCTCGTTCGATTCTACATTGTAAAATATTATACAGGATGTCCTATTTTAAATAAAACATTTTAATATCTCTTCTATAACTCGTCATAGACAAAAATTTTTCAGACAAAAGTAGCACGGTACGGGAGGAGACATAAAGTAATAAAGTCAGTTTGTGTGACAATACCAAAGTCACATTGAAATTTTTAAATGGAGTCACATAGTTTTGTTAACATAAATCGATTCCTTCCTATATAATTCCATTTAACAATTTCAATGTGACCCTTTACCAATGTGACTTTGGTATTGTCACGCAACGTCAAACTGACTTCATTTAGAAGACTTTGTCTTCGAATCATGCAGCTTTGGTCTAAAAAATTTTTATCTATGACGAAGTATAGAATTTTCACCATAATTTTCTACATAGTCAAAGAGATTACAAAAATTTTGTTGGAATTTTTACTACAATATTTTCTTCATGTACTCGATTAATATTCGTTCCGCGCGCAGTATCGATGCCCGGCATAAATTTCCTCTCGATAACGTCATTATTCGATACGTTATACAGCTCAATTTTTAAGCGCAGTGTGTATACTCATCGCGAAGTACGTATTTCCTTCTTTGTGCACGATTGTACCGTCTAAGCGCTGTGATTAACGTCCCGGAGTTAATGCCGAGCATTAAGGAAGTATTAGTCCGCCGCACTCGAGGTTAACGACTTGCAAAAAAGCGCCTAAAAACTTGGGCAGAATTCCAAATTTGTAATTTCTCACGCATAGTGACGCATAGTGTTTACGAAAAATTAATCACCCGCGCTATATAATATGTATAAATAATTATATATGATTTAATCCATGCTAAAAATAAGATATAAAATATAACCAAATAATATATTATTTGATCAAAACTCAAATTTCATTTTCTTTAAATAATAGTGTTTTTTTTTCCAACAATTAATAGTTTTTTTTTTTTTCAAACAATTAATCTAATGAAACAAATGTCGCTTGATATAAAATTATGTTGTGCTTTGAGTCCAAAAAATTAAAATCGAATAAATTCTAGATCCAAAGAAACCTTTTTCGTTCGCTCTTTATGAACAAAAAGAAAGGAATTTTTACATTATTGTTAGTGATAGTAATCTATCAGTACGATCGTTTGTTATTTTGATTGAAGAACATCGAAACACACTAATGAAAGTAATTACGATCAATCAGTAGTTTCCACCGCGACATCCTTTTTTCCGCTGACAAATATTGAATCAACACTTTGTAAATCGGCTCGTTTGAAATGAAAGAGATGTAGTAACGTTCGCGACGCGAACGTGGGTGGAACAAAGGTCGCGTTTAAGAGGCCGTTAAAGACCGAAGGAACGTTACCACTGCCTTGTCTCAAGTAGGGAAGGGGGGGGGGCGAAATCAACGATTTGTATTCCAGACGCGAAATATTACGCGTACGGCTCGCGTAAGAGCGAAAATATGTGACTCGTCTGTTGATTAATTAGACGAGACGCGATCGTTGGGAGGAGATGATTGGATGTGAGGCACCGCGAACGAAGATCTTCGCGTGAGAATCCGCGGCCCTTCTTCCCGCAGAACGATACTCCCTCAGCGAACTTCCGGCAGAAGTTAATACAACGGACAGCCCGTGGCGCGCGGAGATAGATCGAACGCCGTAAATTCAGCACGCAGGTAACGCGTGTGCGATCGATCTCTCGTTTAATTAATCACGACAAGAGAGGAATCCGCGATATCGAAACGCGCACCGAAACCACGCCGTGGTCTAATTGGAATCTCGCTCGTGGTAGCGATATTAATTACCGAACAAACAGTTTGTGCTCTATGATGTCGGAGTGTGATTAACAGGAGTAGAAATACCGCACGGTGGTATCTGCCCCATCGTTTAATTACCACTTAGGTGCCTCGCCTTTCGCAACTTTTTCCACCGCGAAAACTATCATCGCTCCTCGCACGCTCACATGCGGTTGGCTCTTACGGGATATTCGCGATACGGAGGAGACGATAATCGCGCGAAATGAAATCCACATAAGCCCGGAGATATAGTCGTTACGTCGAATTGCGTCAAAAAACTAACTGTCGAGTATACCGACGTACATCTGAGTCGAAATTGAGATTCTATATTAAGGGGATGTTGAAAACTTTACCGACAGAATACTGACATTTTTCAGATTACGTCGTATTGGTTGCACAGAATTACAAATGCTTTTTGCAATGAAAAAATAAATAGGAGCAAAAATAAATAGAAGCGTTGCTCATATGTGACGAAAACGAAAGAAATATTTTAAATGTAAAATCTCAAGCTGTCAGTTAGCACATTATTTGTCTAATTCAAAAGTTCTGCAGTTTGTACATACCGAAAGTGTAAATGCTCCAATTCAAAAGCTTAAAAATATAGAGCTTAAAGAACTTAAAGAACTTGCTGAGAGCGTTCACCCGAGTCGAAATTTTGTACTCTACATTGACCCTGCAAATTCTGTCGAACTTGAAGAGTCAATGAAGAATCCCAAGATATACAAGCTATTGACCTACCTTGATGTTGCAAATGGCTGCTTGCTGTTGTTTTTTTCCATGAAATTCCAAGAGGCACTCGTTCAAGAATTATTTAATATGAGATTTTTTTTATTTTTAATTCTTTATATATGCCCGGGAAAGTTTCGTGATAAAATATTAAATTCCTTTTGATTTACTTAAACTATTGTATAGCTTTTTGTAGCTCATAGCAAATACGAATTATTTCGTATACTATTGTGTATTATTTTTTTAAAATTCTTCAAAGAAAATAACAATAAAGAGAAAAGAAATCTGGATGTGCTTATTAAAAAAGAAAAATCTGCCCCTTGAAAATCGCACACTCATTTTAAATTATCATAAAAAAAGAGAGGTTAATTTTATTTTAATTATAATTTAATTATTTAATATTCGGTTATCTCGGTATATTTTAATAGAATTTCATCATTAGATCTTGTGCCGCGATTTCACGATAAAAATTCGAGATACGAGTTTTAATTCGATGTTTTTGAACAAAATGATAAAGTCTAAAGACGCATAACACGATCGAAACTTTTTCGCTGCACGGAGAACATGTTGGAGAAATTAAGTGTCTGGATACATCGAATGCACAAAATCAATGCACGATAAAGAAGTACGAAACACGCGCGCGAGAAGAGTCAGATACGAATGATGGAATCACTAGTACAAAACCTGTAATTATCGATGAATCGTGGAACATCCCACATATCATCGCTCTTATGCACGTTATTCAGTAACTTTTCAACTTGAAGCGAGATCAAAACATGAGTCGGTGCCCTCATCATCTATCTTAGTGTTTATTTTAAGTAACTACTAAACTCTCTCGATGCATTTTCCTCCGCGGGAGAAATGTCGAAAAATCACGTGCACGGATGCATTCGATGCATAAAGATCAATTGCCGTTAACTATAATTGAAATTGTCAAAGTGTGGCTATATTCGAAAAAATTTATATCAATCTTTTAGGTAGGATAAGTAGTTAAGTTATTTTATAAGGATTGATGTGTGGATAAATGGATAAAAGAACGACACGTTAATCTCATCTTTTCTTAATCTTCTTTTTTTCTAACCTCTTAAGTGGTATGTCCGAAAAAAGTTTCGTGATAAAATATCAAATTCCTTTTGATTTATTTAAACTATTGTATTCTTTTTAACTCATAACAAATTATATATATATATATTTCATATTTCATTTTTCAAAATTCTTAAAAAATAACAATAAAGAGAAAAGAAATATAAATATGTTTATTAAAAGAAACTCCGCCCTAGTAGGAATCACTCTGTTATTTTCAATCACCACGAAAAAGGTTAATGGAAGTTTCGATGAGATTTATATAGCTCTTAAAAGAGCTGGTATGGAGCTGGAAAGACAAAGATAACAGTTATATGTCCAATAATGCTGTTTATCAATAACGAATTAACTCTAGTTTCGGTACAAAAAAGACTAAACAAAAGAAACGTTGGCTCATATAAACAAGATCGCGCCCAAGGAAGCATTATTAGACGTAAAAATCAGCACTTGCGAGATTATATTCTAAGGCCGGTATTCGTAGAGTTAAATTAGTTAAGATCCAATGACTTGGAATATAATTAATTGCATATTGATATTTATAAACGTTACTTTGGATCAATGTTTTTTGTTTGTTGTTATAATATAATACAGATGCAGATCGACGATTACTCGAAGATCAATAAAGCTATTGTATTATACAAAGCTATATTGTATGATGAAAGATGACAAACTACGAATGTCGGCCTAAATTTCGACTCGGGTATTCCTTTATTCTCAGTAAGTTTGTTAAACCAGTCCATTAGAAACGGAAACTTCTTGTATAACAAATGATTTGACGTACCTTGATATAAAATATATGATGTATCGCTTTCCGTGTTTTAGTTCTGTCCTGCGTTTTTCGATCTGACTTCTTGACTCAGTACCCTAGCTGCTCCGTCATGACACTTGCACTAACACTGGCACTGACGCGATTCAATCAAAGATACACGTGTTAAATAACGCGACGAGAGAGGTTAATTTAAGTATTTCAAAATATCGATGAAATAGTTTAATTAACCAAACAGAACAATAGATAACGCACCGACACACGTAACATGTAGCGCGCGTGTCGCTCGCCAGCCCGGGACTGAATGGAAGGATTCAGAAAAGTCGCAGGAGACACAAAAGTCGGTTTGAGATCGCCTTGAAGGTCCCGGATGTTTTGACTGTTGTTGATCGCCCGTCGTTTATTGATGAGCGACGACTGTTTATGACACGGCAAGGGACGTGTTTACATTTCTTGCCAGTAGTCTAGCATGTCGCGCACTTTTTTTTCGTAATCGAACGTTACTCTTCAACACGTTCGCTACGTTTATTCAGAGGACTTTCTCCACATAACTCGACCCATATTTCTTTTCCTTTTACGTAACTGTGTAAAGTAGGCTTAGTTTGATAATGTAGACATAGAAAATAAAATTTTTGCCGTCATACATATGTAACGCTGACCTCTCTGAAACATGATTGCGTTGGTGTTCAATGCACATGTGATGTTGGTAGCGAACGTGCGTTGAGCAAAATATTATAAACACCTAAAAAGAATGGACAAAACGAAACAAAAACTTTTATTCGGCAAGATGATTAATCAGTACCGATTTTTTCAGGTATATCACATGTTACAAGAAAGAACGCAGTTCGGAATTGAGCGTGACAATAGAGTGAGGGGCACTTGGGGTACGTGGAGCGAATGGAGCGAGTGTTCTAGATCCTGCGGCACTGGTATCCAGTCCCAATCTAGGGAATGCGTTCCTCTACGGTGAGTGCGTTTAAATGTCAAATTCAATTAATTTAATTGCTAGTGTTCGCAATTATCTGTATTATTATCTCCTATTCCACGCTATTGATCTAGTGCTTACAACAGCATTGTTATTTAATTGAGTTATGCAGAGGTCGCTGAGAGCAAATTGCTACAGGTCCTAATTTCAATTTATTCTTTAATAACATTGCGAATGCGATAAATGAAATCCGTTACACTTTTCTTTATTATTATTTATAAATTGAGTTATAACGCGAGCTCATTAGGCAGGATCGTCCAAATGTCTTCTCGTTTGATTTCCCCGCAGCTGCTGGCTTCGCCTCTGTCCCCGCGGGATCATCGGGGGGTACGATCTCTCTCGTGGGAGGTCACACAGTGGGATCGGTAATCTTCGGGCGTCGCGGCTCGATCGCGAGAATGCAAAGCACCTTGCGATAATGCGCGGTCGCTCCTAACAATAATCACACGTCTCGCGGTCCCGTTAGGGTCTCGCGTAATTTGGATCGTAAGCACTCGCTAGGCGAGTAGCTGCATTTCGCATAACCGCGCGGAACTTGGACCTCATGCGCGAGCATGTACCCTTACGAGCTATCTGTCGGTCGATCGATCACCAACGATCATCTGCTTTGTCCATCCGCGCGGACACTACTGGGTGCTGTGGATTCGCCCACGAAACTTGCGAAGTAACTTTAATATCGAAGAGTAATTGAATGGTTCTTTCTTCCACTGCGGAATTTATGTAACGCTTTCGCTCATATCACGACACGAATATAAGAAACCAGGACGAAGCCTTTGTGTGTCACGCTTCAAAGTCATACTCGAATAAATTCGCATGTCTATTTTTACACTTGTGTGAGTCACGCAACGTTTGTTGGTGCGATAAGCCGTCTTTAAACATGCTTACTCGATTAAATGCGTGTTTTCCCTTGAGGTACGTTTATGAGAGACATCGTTGATGAAACACTTCATGTCGCGAGTGACTGTATCTATTAAAATCAAAAACAAATGTCAATTTATTGACTTGCAATGGTTTGCTTTACGTCGCAAGAAACAGAACTTTAGTACACAAGTTCTGTACACCCTGTATGTCCTGTTCGGGCAGCTATAAAGCAGCGTGCAAATTACGGATCAGTAGCGTAAGAAGATTATACACCGGCGGGCCGACGACTCTCGTGAGCTTCTCTCGGGGGCAGAAACGTGTTGTTATCGCCGCTGACATTTACACCTTCGTAACGCTACCGCGAGCCGTTACGTGACTCGTGGTAGCAATACGAATCTCGCGATGGGTTCACCATACGAATAAATGCAGAGTTCCTTTCAGTGTGCAGATTACCTGACGACATTGAATTTGGTTACTGTCTAACGAGACAGACAGGCTTTACGGTAGCTTTTAACAGAGGAATTAAACTTAAAGATTGAAGAAATATACAAAGAAAAGTTGTCTCTAGCATGTTTGTACAGTCGATCACAATTAGTTGTCTGAGAAGTTGTAACTTTGGAATTTTGAAAAATATGCCATCTAGTCCTGATCTTCCCTACGTGAAAATTTTCAGTACTGTCAGTACATTACGGAACACAGCCAAAATACTCTTTCGTTTTATCTCTCCTCCGATCCTTTGATCTCTCCATCTCGAAATTAGCACGGTGTCCTGCTCTCGTGAGAACCCAGGCTTATACACCTGCAAAAATTAAGACGCATCACGCGAGTCAATGCCTGGAACTAATGCGAGCGATTCGTTCCAGGAGACTTTTGAGGAGGCGAAGCATTATCTCGGAGAACGGCACGAGCAGCGTCAGGCCCATTTGCATCGGCACATACAGGCGCTACCACACGTGTAACACTCAGGTAAATCAGTTCGATCATTAACCCTGGCAGTCACATTCTCATTTTTTGTGTGCTTGAGTAATATCGTATGAATAAAAAATCCTACGATTAACAGTTGAACTTTAGTAAACTTAATAGTACGGCTTGAAGTGACAAAAGTCCTATATCGATATTCACAATAATTATCGAGGTATTAATTAAAGAAAATTTGCGAATGATCAGGCGAGATATGGTAGATGAATTTTTTTCACCCAAATCTGTACTATATCTGTACTATATATGTCCGAAAAGCGTTTGATAATGGCTGTCAGGTTTAAAGAAAAAGGGGGAAAAGGAAAAGGACGAATATCGCATCATTTAGCGGAAGAGCGACAGAAATGTAGGAATCAAGTGGCAGGTTTTCGTTTTCTCAAGCTACAAAGCGGTCTCGTTCCACAAACGAGCTTCGTTAAAGCTCCAAATTGACAATTAGGTACGCGAGCTCACTCGTTCGTCACATAAAATCCACGTTCACGTGTGTCACTGTATCCTCGCGCGTGCATCCCCGACGCCCCATAAATCAACGGATGCGTCTATATCCACCTAGAGTCGGGCGCACATGCTTCTTTAGGATTTTCCTCTCGACGGCGCGTCACGAGTCGCGAACAAATCATCGAACGGGCCAATTAAGGATGCGCACGACGACGATTTATATCCTCAGTCTCGGTCTGCACGTGGCGTTGTTTAAAATTCATAAGAATGCGAAACCACCTGCGAAACTAAAGACCCTTTTATAATGGATGGCTTCGTCCGTCGACGAGAAGAGGAAAGGAGAAGAAGAAGGGCTCGCGCTGGTGTTGATTAGCCCTCGGTGGTAGTAAAGACCGCGCGATAAGATCTGTTTACTTCTCGACAAGCTCTGATTATCGGCTCGGTAATGTTTCCGACATTCGCGAGTCTAAAAGGAGAAACTGGAATGACGAACTCCAAAAATGTCGATGACGTAGAGGCGACTGACACGTTCGTTCCTTTTTGTATTTCTTGTACATATAGATTTTATATAAATGCCGCTTTGTTTTACCATGCTAGCAGGGAGCATAACTATGCACATATATAGAAATCTTTCTGTAAACATTTCATATATTTTTGAGCTTTTCTACGTTCAGTTCAGCAAAGGATTTGAATTTTTTAATTTGAGTTGTCTGAGACTAAAACGTAAAAAAGCTAAAAAATATATGAAATGTTTACAGAAAGATTTCTATACATGTGTATAGTTATGCTCCCTGCTAGCATGACAAAACGGCATTTATATAAAATCTATATGTACAAGAAATACAAAAAGGAACGAACGTGTTAGTCGTCTCTACGTCATCGACATTTTTGGAGTTCGTCATTCCAATTTCCCCTTTCAGACTCGCGAATGTCGGAAACATTACCGAGCCCATAATCAGAGCTTGTCGAGAAGTAAACAGATCTTATCGCGCGGTCTTTACTACCACCGAGGGCTAATCAACACCAGCGCGAGCCCTTCTGACTGAGACTAAAATTACAGTTAAAATTACAACGAGCTTGGCTCGAGATTGACCGAAAGATACACCACGGCGTTCGTTATTAGTCGGGAAAAAGCGACGATTTCCGCGGGAATATTTATCTCCGCGCTCAATACCCGGGACTACATTTCCGGGCTGCATTCGTGATTCGTAAACATGCCCGGGCAAAGTAACCACCGTTTCGTTCACCGGCAATTAATAGTCTACCCGGAAATTGCAACGCGGCCGCGCACGTAGCACCACACGTGCCGGCATTCGCATGTTTGCGCGAATATACTTCCTCCCGGTAAACGCAGCAGCGGCGGCGACGGCGGATCGGAATGCAAGTTTGTTCCTTTTTCCACCGAATCGCAAATAATTTTGCCTTTGCGCTCTCGGAAAAGCGCGATGTGCCGTAAAAAGCGATCGATCGTTTTTTTTTTTCGAAGGACTCCTCGACGCCGTTCGCTGTGACTCTGATCGATCCTGCAATTACCGAGAGTTCAATTAATCCATTACGTGTTTGTGCAGGAATGCCCGAACTTCCCGGAAGATCCGCGAGCGGAGCAGTGCGCCAAGTACAATGGGAGGAACTACAAAGGCCGCAGTTATGTCTGGGTGCCCTTCGTAGACGGTGAGTGAATCCCGCGGAAAGCTTTTAATTATACAGTTATCTCTGGAAAAATGTGCTTTTCATCTCTGTAACGTGCTCTCTAAATTTTTCGAAGTGGAAAATCACTGGCAGCGAGTAAAAAATGACAGTATTTTGAGGAATTCATAACGCAGTAAAATTTTTCCTTTCTAAATTTTATTAATAAGTAAAAATAGTAAAAATATGAAGTTTCAAAATACGTTTTTTTTTTTTAATTCAATATGATTTTTCCATTATAGAGTTACTTAAAAATAGCTCCTTTTTAATGCCGTTTTCATCTCATTTTTCTCGTGATGATAGGCAAATTTGAATTTGTGTTCATTAGCGGCCAGAAATACGTTGGAAATGACTATTCGTATTGCAAAATCATATCGGACAGTGTTGTGATAATTACTTTCAATTTTCCTAGTTTGGCCAGCTCTCAAATGAATTGTGCCTACTATACGTTAAATTCAATTTCGACCGAAGATATTCATGCAGAATGAGAAGTTGATTCTAACGAGCGAAAAATCATTCGAATGACTTGGCGATCTATTTTTCACTAAAATTTCACTCTATGGAATTCGAAGAGCAGCAGATTGATCATTCAATAAGAGAAGATTCGGACTTTTCCCCAAAATCTCTGAACGTCATCTTCGCTTAAAGACACACCGATGCGAAGATGACGCAGCCTAACTATCCAGACAACTGACTTCCGCGTGGTCTAATCGCGACTACTGTTCTCCAGCACCGAACTCATGCGCGCTCAATTGCCGTGCAGTCGGCGAGCGTTTTTACGCAACGCTTGAACCGGCAGTAATGGACGGCACGCCCTGCGACGCTCCGAATCTTCGCGGACGCGGTGTCGGGATTTCGATGGAACGCAACGGCGAGCGGTGGCTCTGCGTAGCCGGACAATGCAAGGTATGAATAGCGCGAATGATACGCGCTCGCGAGAGAAACGGTGCCGGAAATTAACGGTCGATGTTGGCCGGCGCGATACGATCGGCGAGATCGTTATTGACCCATGCACGCTTTCGGCCCTTCGTCACACGGCGGCCCTTTCGTTCCTTTTTCCTGTCGGAGTTCATTGCACGCCCGACACATCGGCCTGATGTACTTATCAAGCAACAGCTCTCTCTCTCTCGGGACCTCTCCGATTTTGACTCGAGTTGACGATGTATTGTACTGCGTCAAATTCAGTAACATCTGTTTTATAATATACTCCATTTGCCCATTAACTATGCGATATATTAATTAATTAATGTATTCGTCCCTACGTTTGACTCCTACTTTCTCATTTTTTTCTTTTTATATTATTTTTCTAATGTGTATATATTGCTTTATTCAATTATTCCATATATGTGTAATATATAATATATATCTGTGACATTTTATCAAAAGGGCTTTATATTCCGTGTTTCGC